TGCCCCAGCAGCACCTGCTCCTGCACCCTTCTCCCGCAGGCCCTGGGGTGGACGGGCGCAGGGCAGCTCTGGGGCAGCGCCAGCACCCTGCACCACGTCCTGGAGGAGTGCGCGTCCCTCCTTGCTGCCTTCTGGAGCACCGTGCTGCCCGTCAGCCCTGCCCAGCACCAGGGCAAGGTAACACGGGGCTGGCAGGGTGGTGGGGCTGGGGGCTGGCGCTCGCTGCTCATCGCTCTCGTCTCGTCCCAGGAACAGGCACTACAGGGTGAGATCGCGGCGCTGCGGGCCCAGCTCTCCGAGAGGGAGGATGCTCTGCAGAGCACAGCCAAGCGGCTGCGCAGCACAACCCAGCTCAAGGACAGCATGGAGCAGTTTATCGTGAGCCAGCGTACGTGGACGGGGTGGTGTCCTGCTGCGGGGTGGCATGGCCAAGCTGGACTGGTCCTCATGTGCCTGGGGTGGCTCCACAGCACAGAGACCTCACTGACCCCGTCTCTCTCTCTCTCTCTCCCTCTCCCCCCTCACAGTGACCAGGACCCACAACGTGCTGCGCAAGGCCCGGATGAACCTGGAGGTGAGTTTGCCCCTGCAGCCAGCACAGGATAGGGGCAGGTGCCCCTGCCCTGGTAAGCCCTGATGCCCCGGGGATGGGCACAGATGGCAGATACCCTGCGCTCTGCTGGCAGAGTGGTCTGACGGGGGGGTTGCTAAGGGCCAGCTGGGTGCAGCATGTGTGTGTGGGGACACGGGGACCCTTTTTCCTTGGCTGTCCCCAGGCTGTGCTCCCCGCAGGGTACAGCAGTCCTCCAGCACAGGCCTGCCCTGGCAGTGCCCCCCACCCCACTGCCACGCGTGCTCTCTCACCAGGTGAAGGCCCAGCAGGCCCTGCCCGTCGCATAAGCCCCAGGCAGGGCAGGGAGCGATGCCCCCCGGCCGTGGAACAGCCGCTGCCTGCCGAGCCGAGCCACGCCGGAGGGCTAGAGCGGACCCTGTCCCTGCTGGGGTGGACAGGGATCTGGGGTGCCCAGTCCTACACAGTTAGTGGGTTCGGGCTGCTGTGGTGGTCGCACGCCCTCCACCTGCCTTTGCTTGGCACCACAGCAGCAGCTGCTGCCTTGGGCTTTGCCTGCCCCGCGCTTCAGCGCTTGCCCCCTTTCTGCCCACGGTGCTTAGAGTGGGGCATCGCAACCCTCCACCCTGGGCACCCCTCGCCCCAGGACTTGGTCCCATTTGTAACCCTGCTGTGTGCCTGTCCCTGCTGGCGGATGTATGTATATGTACATAGACAGAAGTATCGGAGCTGCGTTTTGGGGGCTCCCCAGGCACGTTGGGGCCCCAGCGCGGGAGGAAGATGTAAGAAATGCCTGTTCAGTGTTGTAAGAAACTGTAAGAAATGTTCTATCAGTGGCTGGAGAGCCCCCAATAAAGGTTTCCTTTGGGTTGTGGTGTTTCTGGCACGCCTGTCTCTGCAGCAGTGCACACCCCTCCCCAAGCTACCCGCAGCGCCGGGTGCCATAGGCACCAGCTGGCCCCAAGGGGGTGGCTCTGAGCCCCACCTCGCACTCCCAAGAGCAGCTCTACACCCCAAAGGCAGCGTTACACCCCACCAGACACTCCCTTCTCTGCTCCAGAGCCCCCCTCCAACACCAGGCCAGCAGCACAGAGAACAATAAATACTGTAATAAATAGAGAAAACCCTGTCACGTGGCGCTGCTCCAGCAGCAGGCGGTGTTGCCGGGGTCCTGGGGTACCCGCCCTGCTCCGCTCTCCCCAGGCCCCCTCCAGCGTGGGCGTGCGCAGGTGCCCCTCTGGCTGCGAGGAAGCCAGCCCTGCCCCGCAGAAGCGCTCCGTGTTGGGGACGGGGCGTTCAGTCCCTGACTGTGCTGTCCTGGCGGCAGGTAAGCACAGCGGCGTCCGGCTGTCCCCTCCCTCCCGCTGGCTCGATGCTGAACCTGGCAGAGGGGCCTGGAGCTGCAGGCAGAGCCAAGAGCCCTCCTCAAAGCTGGGGAACACAAGGAGGGGGGCAGCCCCACAGCCAGGACTGTGGAGCAGGTGGCAGGCTGGGGTGTCCCAGAGCCCCCAGGGATCAAGGTGGCCTTGGAGGCTCATTGCCGGAACAGCACAGCAACCTTCAGCAGGTAGGACACGTTTCTGGAGGCCTGGGGGCAGCGCCAGGACTGCCTCGGGCCCTCGCAGGTTGGAGAAGACGGGTAGGGTGAAGCCCTTTCCGTGCTGGGCATGAGGAAAGGCTATTCTGGTGAGCAGCAAAGTGTCCCCAGAGACTCACAGAAGCCAAGGGGAGCTGTAGGTGGGCGGAAACCAAGGGTTAAATCAAACCACACCAGTAGGATGGGACAGTGTCACAGGCCCCAGCGGCCCTGGGCTCATCACGGGGGCCTGTGTCCGTGCCAGGTTCGAGGCTGAAGCCAGCGGCCAGTTCTCACACAGTCCT